GTGCGGAGCCTGTGGGTGCTGAGCCTGGGGTTGCTGATTCTGCGGGTGCGGAGCCTGGGGGTGCTGAGCCTTGTATTGCTGAGTCTGAGGGTGTGGGGGCTGGGGGTGCTGAGCCTGAGCGTGCGGAGCCTGGGGGTGCTGAGCCTGAGCGTGCTGAGCCTGGAGGTACTTTGTCCTACGGAGGTCCTACGGGTGTCTTGTCACGGCGCGAGCCACTCTCTCCACCGCAGCTGCACGAGTGGTTTGCTTGGCGCTGAAGTCGTGCTGCTGGAGCTGGGGGGCCTACCGCTGGAGGTGCTGCTGGCACTGGAGGTACTGCTGGTGTTGTAGCTGCTGGAGGTGCTAGAGGCGCTGGTCCCAGAGGTGCTCGTACTGGAGGTACTGGAGCTGCTGGGGCTGGTGGTGCTGCAGGAGTTGGAGCTGGAGGCGCTGGAGCTGTTACTGCTGGGGGTGCTACTGGAGCTGGAGCTGCTGGAGGTGCTGGAGCTGGTGGTACTGCAGGAGTTGGAGCTGGAGACCCTGGAGCTGGGGGTACTGGTGCTGTATCTGCTGGTTCTAGAGGCTCTGCGCGGCCACGGCCGTCCTTCGTTCCACTCCTTCAGCAGGTTCTTGGTCTCCCGCCTTCTACTGGTCCTACTCCTCCCTTACTGTGTCCGTCGCCTGACCAATCGCAGTCGCAGTTCCAGCCAGCCTCCCCACTGCTTGGTCCTTCTCCTTACACTGGGCCGACCGGAGGTCTTGCGGAGCGTCGTGAGCCTGCGTCTCGTCCTGCGTCGCCTTTTCGCGCTGCTCGCTCTGGTCATGTTCCGTGTCCGCGTCCTCCTCCTGTCCCCGACACGCACCTAATGGAACTTCGTCCTTCCTCTGTTCCACTGCGTGTCCCTTTGCCGTCTCCTCCTGCGTCCTCTCTTGCTGACGATCCGGCCTCGGAGTCTGACTCACTTCGTGCTGCCAGCCCTACTGTCACGCGTCTGCTAGCTACTCTTGTCACTGACCCTACGTTTGCGTCTACTGCTGCGTCTACTCTTGTTGCTGAGCTTGTCGACTTTGCTGCCGCCTGTCGTCTAGACTACGCCGCTAGTCTTGTTGCTGAGCCTGAGTCTGTCTGTCCTCCGTCCGTCGGGGGTGAGTGTGCACTTGGCACGGACGTCCTTGAGAACAGGAAGGAGGACTTTGAGTGCTTTGCAGCTGCTGTACCTCATCTCGTGTCCATTCTGATTGCACCTGAGGGAGACCCGGATGCACCAGACATCCTGACCCCGCGCTCTTACGCAGAGGCAATAGAGGGTCCCTACTCCCAGTGGCAGTCAGCCATGGACGCAGAGATGGCATCCTATAAGTCCACAGGCACTTACGTCGTCGAGGTTCCCCCTCTTGGGGCGAACATCGTCAGTGGCATGTGGATTTTCAGGGTGAAGCGGCCGCCGGGTTCTCCGCCTGTCTTCAGGGCGCGTTACGTTGCACGAGGCTTCAGTCAGCAACAGGGAGTTGACTTTTTCCAGACCTTCTTCCCGACCCCAAAGATCACCACTCTTTGGGTTATGCTGCACGTCGCCGCTCAGCGTGACAACGAGCTTCACTCTCTCAACTTCAGCACTGCTTTCCTACAGGGCAGCCTGCACGAGGAGATCTGGCTGCGCCGCCCACCTGGCTTCACTGGGTCGTTTCCTGCAGATACCCAGTGGAGCCTCCGGCGGCCAGTCTACGGTCTCCGCCATGTGCCTCGCGAGTGGCACGACACACTGACCCGTCGTTGTTTCTACGCACCGACACTTCGCTGCCGCCGTTCTACATCCTCGTGCACGTCGACGACTTGGTCTTTGCCACTGCTGAGACTGCTGAACTGGCCCACGTGAAGTCGGAGCTGCAGAAGAGACACACGTGCACAGACCTGGGTGAGCTCCGCAGCTGTCTTGGCTTGCAAATCACCCGGGACAGAGCACGGTGCACCATTACCTTGACTCAGTCACACATGGTGCAGCAGGTCCTTCAACACTTCGACTTCGAGTACTCCTCGCCACAGTCCACTCCTCTACCTACCGGTTACTCGCTCTGAGCTCTGCCTTCGGATTAGTCCGTAGAGCCGAGTGGCCCGTATCCAGAGCTTGTGGGATGCCTCATGTACCTGATGACCTGCACACGACCTGGAGTCACGATACGCTACGTTAAGCTTGTGATCTTTTGGCACGCTACATTGCGTCCGGGAGACACCGACCAGAGCACTGGAAGTCCGCTAAGAGGGTGATGCGCGTGCGTCAGGCATGGGGCTCGTGCTTGGAGGACGGAGTCGACTTGTCCTCACTAGTCACGTAGACGCTTCTTGGGTTTACGACTTGGCTACGCAGCGGTCGTCACAGGGTTACACCTTCAGCCTTGGTTCCGGTTCTGTTTCGTGGCGGTCTACCCGCTCGTCTTCTGTTCTCAGCTCCAGCTGTGAGGCTGAGATCTACGCAGGGACCGTAGCTGCACAGGAGTTACGCTGGCTCACCTACCTGCTTACTGACTTGGGAGAGGCGCCTCATTCTCCTCCAGTTCTATACGTCGACAACAAGGCCATGATTGCCTTGTGTCAGGAGCACAGACTGGAGCACAGAACGAAGCACATCGCTCTGCGCTACTTCCTTGCTCGAGAGTTGCAGCAGCGTGGTCAGCTTCATCTTGTTTACGTGGCCTCTCAGGCCAACACTGCTGAGATCTTCACCAAGGCACTTCAGCCTTGTGATCATCAGCGTTTCTGTACTGTTCTAGGTCTTGTGCCTACTTGGCCTCACTTGCTCACTTCTTGACTTAGCTTGTACTGTGATATATAAACTTATACACTTGCTAGGTTGCGATCACTGTACTGCTTGTTCCTCTTTATATATAACTCTGCATGTGAACTGGCCTTGTTGCCATTTACTTGTGCTCGGATTGTATGGTGACGTTGTGATCCACCCTAAGCTTGACCTTGCCTTGTTCTCTTGCTTGTCCCCCACTTTGCCTATGGGGGTGTGTCAGAACTATGCAATTATATGCTGTAGGCTGTAACGGGGCACTTCTTATGGGGTACAGCCCAATTAGGTTTTGCATATACAAACCCTGTACTGCTGTCATTCTAATCATTCTTGATTCCTACTTTTTGACAGGAGCTACGCTGGCTGACCTACCTGCTGACCGACTTGGGGGAGTGGCCTCGTTCTCCTCCATTTCTATACGTTGACAACAAGGCAATGCTTGCCTTGTGTCGCGAGCAGAGACTGGAGCACACAACGAAACACATTGCTCTTCGCTACTTCCTTGCACGTGAGTTGCAGCAGTGTGGTCAGCTGCGCCTTACTTACGTGGCCTCTCGGGCCAACACTGCTGATGTCTTCACCAAGGCTTTTGGGTCTGGTGATCATTAGCGTTTCTGCACTGCTCTTGGGTTTGTGCCCACTCTGCCTCACTTGCTGGTTGCTTGACTTGCTATTGTTGTACACTGCTATATATCTTTATACCTGCATGTTTACTCTTGCTAGGTTGTGCTCAGTGGACTGCCTTGCTATTATACATCTGCACGTGAACTGGCCTTGTGGCCGCCTGCTTGTGCTCAGATTGTGTGGTGTCCTTGAGATCCACCCTGGACTTTGCCTTGCTTGTTCTCTTGCTTGACTGGTCTTGTGACCACTGCTAGGTTTGGCTATCCCCTACTTCACCTATGGGGGTGTGTCAAAACATATTTCTGTTTGTTTCACTCTAGGTTGTGTAGGGGTTATTCCTTAGAGAGGACAACCCTTTTCTCTCGATAGTCTTGTACCCTCTCTCTTACCTAATCGACATTGATTCCTAGTTTAGTCCTTGACAATCACATTCCGCTATGCATTACTCTTGAGACTATGATGGGGAGGAAACGGAGGTGTTGGTGGCAGGTCAGGATGAGTCAAGGGATGGGGGTTGAAAACCTGAAGTACTGGTAGGATGTGTTTCCATTCCCCTCCTTGCTAGCTACTGAATACTTGAATTATCAACCATGTGTGGGTTTATGAACTAAAATATGTGTTCACACACTAGTCATGCTATGAAAACAAGTGAAACCGTACTAAATCTACCTTAAAAGAGTGATGTACAGCTTTGAGGGGGATCTTTTAATGCATACCTCTCTACGAGGGGGGGGGTGGGTGTGATACAGTGAACACCTACCGCAAATAAAGACCCATTCCCGTACAACATACCCCGTGGTTTTAAGTTGCGGGGGGTCTTATATATGGGAGATTACGGTATTTAAGCAATTTAAAGTTAAAGCCAGCAGCTATAGTAGTGACCCCCGTCCCAACTTGAATGTGGAGTTGCAAGTGAGGATGAAACCAGTCTCAAAGACACTGTTTCAAACGATTTGTATGGGCAGAGTGAACTCATGTTATTGGCCCTCGCCACAATTGAACGTAGTGGTTCCCGCCAAAATGGACTTTCTTTCTCATTTCAGCCGTCGCATTTTTGCGTGCCGCATCCGCACGACAAACCCCAGGCGATGGTTTCCCATCGCAGGCCCAACCTCATTTTCAAGCTGGTGGGGGGTGCATTACTAGATTTCTGTCACTCCATTCATCACTAGTTTCCGTATAGCATAGTAAGTAGTATAGCTGAAAGCACAGGCGTTTGTGTCATAGCCATGTAATTACCGACGAGTGCGTCAATTGTCGACTTAGCAAGAGTGTGAACTTTAGGTTCGCTGCCTGTCGCCTCGTTTATCTCCCCTCGTTGCTCGTCGTACTCGCCATTGCTAGTGGGGTCCGCCGTCGCCTCGTTCTCTAGTCCGTCCCGTCGCCTTTCCGTCGCCCTCGCAAACACACGCGTGACGGCCCTCCCGTCGTCGTCACGGTCTCCCCTCCCGGTCCGTTATTTTCCCGTTCACCCCTCTTGTCCCCTCGCCCTCGCGATTTCCCTCCGATCCCGTCGCCTTCCCGTTCTCCCGCCCCTCGCCTTCGATGTCCCCTCTTCCTTCCCGTCGCCCTCACTATCTGCCTTCCCTCACGTTACCTTCGATGTCCCCCTTTTCCTTTCGTCGCCCTCGCGATATCCCTTCCCCCTCCTGTCGCCTGTCCGCTCTCCCTCCTGTCGCCTTCGCGCTCTCCCTCCCGTCGCCTGTCCGCCGTTCCTCCCTTCGACTTCGCGCTCTCCCTTCCGTCGCCTGTCCGCTCCCCCTCCCCTCGCCTTCGCGCTCTCCCTCCCGTCGGCCTCGCGCTCTCCCTCCCATCGCCTTCGCGCTCTCCCTCCCGTCGCCTTCGCGCTCCCCCCCCCCCCCCGTCGCCTGTCCGCCCTCCCTCCCTTCGCCTTCGCGCTCTCCCTCCCGTCGCATGTCCGCTCTCTATCCCGTCGCCTGTCCGCTCCCCCTCCCATCGCCTTCGCGCTCTCCCTCCCGTCGCCTTCCTCCTACCCCACTTCATCTCCTATCACTCACGTCCTCCCCTCCCATCGGCATCGCGCTCACGTTCCTCCCTCCCGTCACCATCGCGCTCACGTGCACCTGTCTTCGCATCGCCTTCGCGCTCATGGCCTCCCCTCCGATCACGTCTCGCGCCGTCGCTATCTCCCATCACGTTCCGCGCCGTCGTTATCTGCCCCCCTCACCCCCGTCGCGCTCGCTGTTTCCCCCCCCTCTCCCCGTCGCGCTCGCTATCTCCCACGCGATCTCGTAGCGATCCCCCTTTTGCAGTCGCCTACGTGATCTACTCCATTTTCCGTCGCCCGCGATCTCCCATTGTACGGTCAATCGCTCTCGCTATACCCCATCCCTTACCGTTCTAATTCTCGTCGACCCCTCTCTCTCCTCTCGAGTCACCTTGTCGTTCTTCTGCTTGCTACTTGCATCACTCTGTGCTGTTCGTTAGCTCAACATTGTGTCTATGCTGCGTGTGTGGTGGCAGGTTCCGTTGTGAAATTTGTGATGTGTTGTGCTCGATGCGGATTTGGATGGGTGGGAGAAGTGGAAATGTCATAGCAAGCTTGCGACAATTTTGTGCTTGTTGCGACTGATCGTATCAGAAGTCGGAAACAACTTCAAGTCGGTCTTGTTACTACTTGGGGACTTGCCCTGTTAGGAAAAAAAACACCAAACTTTCTGGAAATTTTCATGAGCTTTCTAGTGGATCCAACTAGAAGGGGGGGGGTCACTATTTTAGCTGCTGGCTTTAAGAATTGTCTTCAAGGATTTAATAGAAGCTTCAGCAGAGTGCGATGAACTCCCTTTCCTCGCCTCTTGCAGCCTCAAACTCCCCCAATCCCTCCCTCCTCTCCCAAACAAGCTCCTCCAATCCGTCTTGCCTGTCAGTGGCAGCAGCTAGGCAAAGAACTTGACCCCCTCATCGTCGGAGGAGGAGCCCTTGAAGAGCATGGCGAGGCCCCTCCCCTCAAGCACTCTGATGGCTCTCCGCAACACATCCTCATCAATGCCCTCCAGATCTGGTGCTCAGCACACATGCACACACACATGCACACATGCACACACACATGCACACATGCACACATGCACACACACATGCACACATGCACACACACATGCACACATGCACACACACACATGCACACATGCACACACACATGCCCACACACATGCACACATGCACACACATGCACACATGCACACACACACATGCACACATGCACACACACATGCACACACCCATGCACACATGCACACACACATCCACACATGCGCACACACATGCACATATGCACACACACATGCACACATGCACACACACATGCACACATGCACACACACATGCACACATGCACACAGACATATGCACACATGCACACACACACATGCACACATGCACACACACACATGCACACATGCACACACACACATGCACACATGCACACACACACATGCACACATGCACACACACATGCACACATGCACACACACATGCACACATGCACACACACATGCACACATGCACACATGCACACACACATGCACACACACACACATGCACACATGCACACACACATGCACACATGCACACACACATGCACACACACATGCACACACACATGCACACACACATGCACACATGCACACACACATGCACACACGCACACACACATGCACACATGCACAAACATATGCACACACACATGCACACATGCACACACATGCACACACACACAAACACACACACAGGCACACACATACACACACACAAGCACACACACATGTACACACACATGCACACACACACATGTACACACACACATGCACACATGCACACATACATGCACACATGCACACACACATGCACACATGCACACACACATGCACAGATGCACACACACATGCACACCTGCACACACATGCACACATGCACACACACAAGCACAGATGCACACACACATGCACACACACATGCATACATGCACACACATGCACACATGCACACACACATGCACACATGCACACACACATGCACACACCCATGCACACATGCACACACACATCCACACATGCACACACACATGCACACACACATGCATACATGCACACACATGCACACATGCACACACACATGCACACATGCACACACACATGCACACACCCATGCACACATGCACACACACATCCACACATGCACACACACATGCACACATGCACACACACATGCACACATGCACACACATGCACACACACACAAACACACACACACACAGGCACACACACACACACACAAGCACACACACATGTACACACACATGCACACACACACACATGTACACACACACATGCACACATGCACACATACATGCACACATGCACACACACATGCACACACAAGTACACACACACAAACACACACACACAAACACATGCACACACACACACAGGCACAGACACACACAAGCACACACACATGTACACACACATGCACACACACACATGTACACACACACATGCACACACACAAAAACACACAAAAATACAGACGTACACATGCACACATCCACACATGGACTCACTCTCCCATGCATACACGCACAGATGAAAATGCGCACACATGCACACACGCATACGTGCACACACAGACTCACGCTCACATGCGCGCACGCACACATGCACACATGCACATGCAGGAAGACAGACACACAGACACACACACAGACACACACACACACACACACACACACACACACACACACACACACACACACACAGGCTCGCACATACCCACACATTCACAAATGCACATATGCGCACATGCACACACGCGCACCTCACACATGGACACATCCGCACACATTTTTACTGAACAGCATGCCTTAACCCTCCTCTCAACACACACAGACGCAACAATGGGTAAGCATAGCCACGAGGAGAAACATCTGGAACCAGAGCAGCGCGCATTGCACACACGTCTTGCCTTCGCCCTCGGTGCTCTCGATAACCACTCCAGCTGGACACATGCCGCAGGCGACGAGAAGGCCAGATCGATGGGGGAGAGCACACTTGCATGCGTACCTGTCCCTTTCGTGTCATCCCCTGCTCGTATTTCCTCGAGTGTCAAAACAGAATCCCCAAATCCGTTCTCGCGCACCTATGGGCCACGATAGGAAGACAAGGGGGGACGAAGCGCACGGGCAATAATGAAGCAGACGCCCACGAAACAGTACATAGTGCCTGGACTGTGTACCTCGCCCTTCAGGGCTGCTTTGGGCTCAACTCTCCATGCGATGGGCCCAACCTCAGCGCCCCCAGGTTTGCTGCTGTTCCGCTATAAGCTTGGAAGCATCACGCCCTACGCGCGCGCCACCGGCACCAAGCCTGGATCCCCCCCCCCACCACCCCGGCACCTCGTTATTGTGTCCACCAGCTTCTTCCACCAGCTTCTTCGACCCGATAGCTTACCCACAAAACACTCCCCACCCCCGCTTCCCCCATCCCCTGGGCTCCCAGCTGCCCCATCCGCCACTCCAGCCCTGCCCTCGCCTCTGCTGCTCGCAACATAGTCATGACGGGCGTGCATCTTCTTTCAGATAAAAATGTTACTCTCGACACCATTCTTTGACCATAGAACATCCACGCTTTTCACATGCCCAGAGCTTTAACCTGTGTACCCTGCGCATAAACTTCCACACACTCAAGTCTCAACCCAATCATGACTTCACACTCATCTAGCTAGCAACCTGCCTGGCCTGTCACCAGTTTTATAGCTTCTCTTTAAACAGCTGCAATCTCGCACACAAGGCTTGTTATACGACTCTCACTGCACTCTTCTGGTGGACTCGATTCGAGGCTTAGTGCAGCCCAAGGTTGTTGATCGCAACTAGCCCAAGGTTGTTGATCGCACCTAGCCCAAGGTTGTTGATCCGCTTAAACCCATGCACCTGCAATAGCTTCAGAATTCAAACTTAGACCACTATCCGCTTAAACCCATGCACTCAAAGCGTCCTTTTGAGTCGACTCATAGTCATCCCACTCGGCCTCGCAGGAGCCCAGTCAGTTTAGCGTGTTCTACTAAAGGCTGGCGTCACCCACTGCTGCCATTCTGTTGCTGTCAATCCTGGACATCCGCCCCGCCCATCCCAACCACTGCATCGCCTGCTGGAAGTGACTCCAGCTGTGCAGTCCGCCAACCCCACGTACTGGGCTGAATGTCGAGTGCCACCCCACGCCCACAGTGTACCACCACGGCTCCTCTCCTAACACTGGTGCGGACCGGGCTACCTTTCCTGCGAGCTTCCTCCTCCACGCCGGTGCCGAGGGAGCATTTGCACGCCTCAATTCCGTCCCTGCCCCGCCCAGCTCTTTCCTCTGCTGGCGAATTCTTTTGGAGATTGCAAGTATGAGCACGGGTTGGAGCCAGGCTGAGGAGGACCGCGGACGAGCCGGGGCAGCTCGGGATGCAATGTCGCAAAACAAGAGACCTTGGCCACTATCTTGAATTAATTAAGACCCCGCTTCGCCACCCACCTTGTATAACTTCACGTTCATCACTGCAACAGGCCTTTGAATTTTGAGTTTAAGTTTATCAAATTACACCGCCTTTGTTGACATCACCAGCTGTACCATTTGATGCACGGACCACATGAGAGGGGGGAGGGGGAGGAGGGCGTACGAATTGCAGCAGCGTGTCGGCCCAGTCGTTGATGGACTTCCACAGGATGAGGCACCGCGTTCGACTGCGATCCGTCCACTCTGCCCGCCCTGGCACACGGGGGGAGGCCGCGCACAGGAGGAAATGCACAGTTTCGCTTCATGGGAAATGAGTGGAGGAACGAAGCTTATGGGAACAAAGCGCCTTAATCCTTGAACGAGTGGGAAAACGACTGGATGATGGCCATCGGAGGCGATGCATTGAGTGGAGAAAGAATGACGGCGATGCTGTTGAGAAGGAATGGGAGCGGAAGGAATAATGTATGCGCCTAGAAAGATGGGCGTAGAGAGCACAGCAACGTTGCGGCCATGTGAGCCTTGTGCAAGAGATTGGGAGTGAGCTTACCTTCTGCCACGAGAGCCTCGAGAAAGACCTGCCGTGCTTCGAACGTCAGTTTGCCTGCCGTAATTGATTCACGCACACACAGGGTGAAACAGGAAATTGGGACATGAATCGAGAGAAAACAGATGTGCATCGAGCTGAGTCAGGGGCGAGGAACAGGTGAGAAACAAACGCATCAAAGCTGAGTGCTGGGAGGTCAAGAGCAGGGAGCTCTCAACCCGAATATTCCCTTCCCCCATCAGCTTGGATTTCCAACCTCCCCACGCTTCCCCAACTAGACGCGCCATGCCCCCTCCACTCTACGCCTGTCAACACCCACCCACCCCTTGCGTTATAACACACCTTGTAATCGATACGGCAACCTTTTTAAGAGTGCGTAAGAGAGAAGTGGGGGGGGGGGTGCAATAGTAGCGAGATATCTAAGGGTGAAGGTTCTACCCATGCCCCCATTCTCATACACAAGCAAAGAACCATCCCCAAGCCCCATGTCACCTCCACCTCGACACCCATTTCCCCCATTCACCCCTTGCCTCCGTCCCCCCCCTCCCAACCCTCCTCCGGCCTCGTCCCTCTGCTTCTCCCTCTCAACATTCACCAGCACACGTGCGTTGTGACCCGCCTGCCCAACCCATCTTCCCTCCCCGCCCCTCCAAGCCCTCACGCTGGATGGCGGGGTGGTGGAAGAGGGGGAAGTGGTCGAGGGGCACGAGCAGCGTGCGGTGGTGGCGGCACCACGCCACGATCAGCTCCGCCCACAGCCGCACCTGCCGCTCTCGCGTCGCCTTGATCGGCTGCAGCCTGCCACCCCCCGCCAGTGCCGCCCAGTGGGTTGGTCGGCCGTGATGATTGTTTGTGGTGGGGGGGGCGGGGGGGTGGGGGGGGGGGGGGGTTGGGGGTATGAGGGAGGGAGGGAGGGAGGGAGGGAAAGGCCACGCAGAAGCGGATGAATGCAGTGCGGATATGAAACCAGTTGAAGCAATCAAACGGATGGAATGATGTGGAAATGGATGTGAGCAGCAACGTGGGGCTGGGCAGGAGTGAGAGGTGCAGCAAGGTGCGGCGCCGGTGACGCACGTGAAGTAGGGAGGGTAGTCGTAGAAGCGTGGCAGGGAAAAGGCCGTGCTGCTCGCCGGCGCTGCTGCTGCTGCTGCTGCGCCTCCCTCCATGGCACCGCAAGGAGGGATACAGTGATGGGAGGGGTGGACGATGGTGAGAAGAAGAGTGCTGCTGTAAAGGAACCTGCAGGTTGATATAGCCTGGTAGAAAGGGATAGGGCGGCAGGGTAAAGTGGTACAAATGTGGGATAAGAATATTGGCTACCCATGCTCAAACTGTTTCAACTGATCGCTATTCGTTACAAGGTGAACGAAGGCGTGTATGAGCATGACTTGAACCAGGTGTGCTGGCCTTCAAACACTCGCACTCAAACATTAGAACCGGTGCCAAAATGAGCGACCCCGTATCTGTCTCACTCGTATTCGGAATGTCATACACACTATCAATCTCACATTCCCCTCACTCTCACATATTCCCACTCACTCTCTGACTTACACGCTTTCCTTGTACTCCTTCCCTCTCACAACCTCTCACGCTCTGACGCACCAACTCGCACCCTCGCTCTCACACCCTAACTCTCTCGCACGCTCACAGTCCCTCCCTCCCGTGTTCTCCTGCACACACTCACGCTCTCAGCCACCCACCTCGGAGAGCGAGGTGAAGAAGATGATGGATGGAGACGAGGCTTGCTCGATGGGGATATGCCGTGTCGCTTGGGTGAGTTGCAGGGTGAACAAGGGATGGGAAAGCACAACGGGCGAATCAGAGCGAAAAATGAACTGGGTGGGGAGGAGGGGGGGAAAGAGGGGGTGGGGAAGGGTAGGGTTGGGGGGAGGTTATCCCCCGTCCTCTGGGAAGGGGAGGGGACCGGGCAACGTCATGGGGGGGATGATCAACGCGGGGGAACGAAGGCATTTGCTCGAGTGGGGAGAGGCGACGGCAAGAGAGGAAGAAGAGGCGACGGCGTGGGGAAAGAGGAGAGGCGACGGCGTGGGGGGAAAGAGGAGAGGCGACGGCGTGGGGGAAAGAGGAGAGGCGACGGCGTGGGGGAAAGAGGAGAGGCGACGGCGTGGGGAAAGAGGAGAGGCGACGGCGTGGGGAAAGAGGAGAAGCGACGGTGTGGGGGAAAGAGGAGAGGCGACGGCGTGGGGGAAAGAGGAGAGGCGACGGCGTGGGGAAAGAGGAGAGGCGACGGCGTGGGGAAAGAGGAGAGGCGACGGCGTGGGGAAAGAGGAGAGGCGACGGCGTGGGGAAAGAGGAGAGGCGGACGGCGTGGGGAAAGAGGAGAAGCGACGGCGTGGGGGAAAGAGGAGAGGCGACGGCGTGGGGAAAGAGGAGAAGCGACGGCGTGGGGGAAAGAGGAGAGGCGACGGTGTGGGGAAAGAGGAAAAGCGACGGCGTGGGGAAAGAGGAGAGGCGACGGCGTGGGGAAAGAGGAGAAGCGACGGCGTGGGGAAAGAGGACGTTGAGGCGATGGCGGATGGGAGGAGAGAGTCGACGGCGGGGAGTAGACGCGAAGTAGGGCGTGCGAAGTAGGGGGAGTGCGGAACGTGAGAGAATGAGGTGCCAGCGAGTGAGGCGGCATAGCGTCTGCCCTTGGAGGAGTGGCGCCAGGGATCGCGCGTTTGCACCAAGCCCCTACCGCGGGCGTGCTGACGTCAGCAAACGCGCTCTAGGCGTCAGAGCCCAAAGAGTCTTGCAAAAACCCGCGAGCACCATATAGTCCCATCGCATAGAGCAGGATAAATCTTTTATTACCTTGTACGGGAAAGGCGATTCACATGATGACCAGGACTAGCTTTATTAGTTGAAGGCCTTCACATCTTTCACCAAGTATTTCCTCGCTATAGACTAATCTGCCCTTCTGATCTTATACAATAGGCTAACAAACCTGACAAAAAAACACCTTTATATGATTCTGAGCATATACATTACATTGCTTGTGAAGCTGGAACGGTTGCAATGTATCGAGGTAGCGATGATTGCACTAAGTTGGCAAACGAGTACAATTGTGAGCGAAAAAAGTTAGCGAACATTTATAGTCAAAATAAGCAAACGGTTACGCTTCGCGTGCGAGCTAGCTATTGCGATGCTGGCAGCGAGGTTCGAGCTAGTCCCGAAGCATAGGCCGACTCAAGCCAGGTCGTCGATGCATGATTTGGGAAATGTGAGGCGCGATGGCAGCAAAGCACCGCTAGCAGTAACGGGCGATAAACGGTTGGTCCTGTACGCAATGATGAGGTTAGGTATGCTGAAAGTTTTTCTACGCTACCCCCCTCCCCAAGAAGCCCCTCCGATACACGAGTGCGTGTACATTGCAGAACTCCCGGCTTTGCAGGTACACTTGGAGGACAGGGTTGTTCTCAACGGTGCCCAAAGGCATCCAGCTGTTTTCCGTAGGGGTGTGGTCCTTCCAGCAGGCGAAGAATTCGATCCTTTGAGATCCATGGGGGTGGCGAATCTGATGGCTCGTAACTTTATTGCTGTTGGGCTGAAAAGTCCTTAGGATCTTTGCAGGGGTGAACTCTGGGTAGAGTTGGTGTACTAGCGGAAGCGTTAATTAAAGGGTTGTGAACCACCTTGCGCTAGTATATGAGTGCAAAGTAAGTTGATTAAAGCAAAGAGATACAAGCAAAGAGATACAAGATTATATATAAATACAGGGAATATGAAAAGACACAGTTATAACTACTTTACTGTTGCTGTTGCGGTTCGATACAGTGACGACTCGGGCAACTGCTCTGTAAGGAGTTAGTTGTGTGTCCTTGCTGTCGCGCTGTATTTGTCAGGTCAAAGGTTGCTGACCTTTGACTTTCGCGTAACCTCCGACAGTTACTTCAACCTCCGAGGGTTGACTCGCTGGTGCTTCGATAGTGTTTTGCTTCGCTTGTGTCTTGGTGTTTCGACACGACAGAGGCTCTTAGGACCGATTGTTTCCAACACTCCCCTTCGCTTCTAGAGTGTCGCTGACGTGGCTCTGTCCATTCAGCAGCATGCAGTATTCGAACTTCTGCTTTCCGAGCTTCTTGGTCAGGTAGTCAGCTGCCATCTCGGACGTGGGACAGTATGACAACTCGAGCCTTCCCTTCTCGATCTCATCCTTCACGAAGAAATATCGCAGGGCGATGTGTTTCGTCCTGTTCGCGAAGCCGTTCTTATTGGCGATGCGAATTGCCGACTGGTTGTCGCAGAACAGGGTAAAGTTGGGTAACTCGGCTAACTTCGCTTCTTCCAGCAGCTCGCGAAGATAGAGTCCTTCCTTGGTGGCTGAGCAGAGTGCAATATATTCTACTTCAGCTGACGAGAGAGCAATTAATTCCTGCTTGCTCGATTGCCAAGAGATAGGTCCGATAGGTTCGAGGCGGTAGAGGTAGCCGTGTCAGAATGTTATCTTAGGCTCTAGCCTGTAGTGGGGTGCTCTATAGCGAGTACAATGTTGAGATAGAGGAATGAGTGCACTATGAAAATGAAACAAGTACAAGTGCTAACCCTAATTGGGTTGTACCCCCTATGGGCTACCCCACTACAGCCTAAATATATGCATCAGTAATATAATCATCAGACACACCCCCATAGGCAAAGTGGGGGAGAGCAAGGGGTCACAAGACCAGTCAAGCAAAGCAAAGCAAAGCAAAGCAAGCTCAGGGTGGATCTCAAGGATACCACACAAATTCCGAGCACAAGGTCAAGGCCACAAGGCCAGTTCACATGCAGCAGAGCATATATATTTAACAGTGCTAAACAAGCAAGAGCAAGGATATATATATGCAGCAGTACAAGCAAGGTCAAGAGGTAAGCAAGTGAGGCCCAGTGGGCACAAGGCCTAGCAGAGTGCAAAAGGGCTGATGGTCACGAGGCGGAAGTGCCTTGGTGAACACATCAGCAGTGTTAGCCTCAGTGGCCACGAAACGCAGGCGAAGCTGACCACGCTGCTCCAGCTCTCGAGCAAGGAAGTAGCGTAGAGCAATGTGCTTCGTCCTGTGCTCCAGTCTGTGCTCCTCACACAAGGCAATGGTTGCCTTGTTGTCGACGTACAGCACTGGAGGAGAACGAGGCCGCTCTCCAAGGTCAGTCAGCAGGTAGGTGAGCCAGCGAAGCTCCTGGGCAGCCATGGCCGTGGCGTAGATCTCAGCCTCACAGCTGGAGCTGAGAACCGAAGAAGAGCGAGTAGAGCGCCAAGAGACAGAGCCAGAGCCAAGACTGAAGGTGTAACCCTGAGACAACCTCTGAGTCGCCTGGTCGTCAGCCCAAGAAGCGTCTGAGTGCCCAGTGAGCACAGGCCGCTCACGCCCTCCAAGCACTAGTCCCATGCCCGACGTACTGCACAAGTAGCGCAACACCCTCTTAGCTGCATCCATGTGCTCCTTCCGGTGACGGCCGGGAGCAACATAGCGTGCTAAGATGCTGAGAGGGTATGCGAGGTCAGGTCGAGTGCAAGTCATCAGGTACATGAGGCAGCCAACAAGCTCTGGATACGGACCACTCGACTCTACGGACTCATCCGAAGGCAGAGCTGAGAGCCAGTGTCCCGTAGGCAGAGGAGTGGACTGAGGCGAGGAGTACGTGAAGCCGAAGCGCTGAAGGACCTGCTGCACCATGTGTGACTGAGTCAGGGTAATGGTGCGGCGTGCTCTGTCCCGGGTGATCCGCAAGCCAAGATAGCTTGTCAGTTCACCCAGGTCTGTGCACGTGTGTCTCTTCTGCAGCTCGGACTTCACGTGGGCGAGTGCGGCAGTGTCCGCAGTGGCAAAGACCAAGTCGTCAACGTACACGAGGATGTAGAACGGCGGCAGCGAGGTGTCGGTGCGCAGAAACAGCGACGGGTCAGCAGTAGAAGGAGCAAAACCAAGAGCCGCAAGTGTAGTCCTCAGTGTGTCGTGCCACTCACGCGGCGCCTGGCGGAGACCGTAGACTAGCCGCCGGAGGCTCCACTGGGTACCAGGAGGGAACGACCCAGTGAAGCCAGGAGGGCGGCGCAGCCAGATCTCCTCGTGCAGGCGGCCCTGCAGGAAAGCAGTGCTGAAGTCAAGAGTGTAGCTCGTAGTCACGCTGAGCACGAC